GAGGGCATCGATATTAGGTTGGAGGCCATGAAGAAAAGTGCGCTTTGGTCCAAGCTGCAGCTTCGCCGCAAGGATGTGGCTGGTGCTCCAGAAGAGGCTGCCGTGCAGGAGCAGGGGAGAAGACTTCAGTCGTCACTCAGCCGAGTAAGGACGTAAGAATCTCACCCACATAAGTGACCTGTTCGTAAAGATCCCTACTCTTTCTGTAGAATTCATAGTGGAGCCACCCTGTCAGCGGGTAGTTTTACCGTTCGGCTACGTTTGTTGGTACCACTCCTGTATCAATGAAACCTCCCTTCTTTGTGCGCTTAGGATGTTGTTCATTTTGTTGCGAATGTTTCACTTTTGCTGCCTTCGACTTAAGACAAGAGCTGTCACACAATGGATCAGAGATATTCAGGATATTCACCAGGATGTCCTAACCATGTCCGACCAAAAGAAAATTAGCAAAGGTACGTCTCCTAGAAGAACACTCAGAGCCTCCCCAAGAATCTGCACGCTGATTGCTGATCAGTTGTTCTTCTTGAAACAAGTGAGATGCAAGACACATCAAAACTCAGTGTCCAGTCTTCTCCAGTAGTAACAAGAAGCTAGTAGTAACAAGTGCATCGCTTCTAGTAACAAGTGCCTTACTAGTAGTAACAAGATGCTACTAGGAACAAGTGCATCTTGGCGGGATTCCATGTCGTTCACATCACAGGATGCACGCATGTTAGTCTCTGGCCCCTTGGTGGACTTCACTCCGGTGCGGGAGGAAGCACAGGACGAGGCGCAGAAAAAGAGCCCGCTTTCGCTTTCGCAGAACTGTCTTTCACATCGAAGGTATTGATCTGCAAAGCCTACCCATTTGTATCTTGCGCAAGCAGTGAAAGGGAGGCCACTGCTCTACACACAGTTTGTTGGATATCGCTAAGGACATGGACTTGCGAGTGAGACGTTTGAATGATTCCTCTCATGTGATGCACTAGAATGTTTGAGGGAATAAACAGAGAGGGATGTTGCCTGATGTTGCCTTCACTATATAAGTGTACTGAATGTTGCCACTTGCAACAAAGGCAGCCTTCTTTATTAAGCTGACCTTCTCAGGAGAAAGTTTGACCCAACTCCACCTCAGCCATCTCCACCATTGGAGTCGCGTAGGCTTTCAGGATCTGTCGCGGCCACTTCCTTTGTTCCCTTCTTGCAATCCGGATGGCGCGTTCATCACAAGATGATCTCATGGATGAACCTCACAAATCATAAATCATATATTACTATTATATATATTATATATTATATATATATTATATATTATATATATTATATATATATTATGTGACATAAATCATAAATCCACAATCCACGCTGTCGACAAAGCAACTCTCGCATTTTTATCGTGTATCTCTTCCATGACTTTCCATTGACCACAATCCACCTGGCCCTCCCAGGGTAACTATGATATGAACAATAACTAAGCTACTAGGAACAAGTGCATCGCTACTAGTAACAAGTGCCTTACTAGTAGTAACAAGAAGCTGTATTATGTTTTTCCGCCTACTGCAGAATCAAGGCGTATACTATGATTGAACGGCCAGGCGTATACTTCCGCATTGCGGACTGCTCTGGGTGCCTCCACTACTGTGCAGGCGCGATGGTCAGCGAACCAGTAGATCGTGGGAAGGAAGATGCGCCTATTTTCAGATGTAATCATTTATACATGTATAACGCAACAACGTGTTTGCTGGTTTACACGTGACATCGTTTGGGGGAAGTATCCTTGACGTTTGTCTTTGGTGGGGCCCATGAACAATGGCTGAGGATTTGAGACATCTACCGGCACGGCTGCCAGGCCCGCGGTGCATCTTCGAATTGTAGCACGGGATCAGAGAGAATATCCCTCGAGCAACGACAAGGGCCATAGAAGATTTTTGGGCACCAATGCAAAACCTTCAAGCAGGCAGGCAATCCGAAGGCTTTGATCCTTAGATGTGGCCCCCCTCTCCGGAAAAGGATACTAATTCTCCTGTTCATTACCTCGATAGGAGCTGACCGGGTTGATTCTGTATCCAATAAACACCCAAGTTCGACTTGGGCGCATGTATTAGCTCTAGGCTCTAGGACCAGCACTGTTGTTCGTGCGACAATAAACAAATAACTTTGGCTGCTTCGACGAGCCATTGGCAGTGTCGCTATGTGGGTGCTTACACTGAGACATGCATGGCTTCGTCTTTCAGACCGAGTCCGGACCGGCAACTAAGAGTGCAGGTGACGCTTGCATGAAACCCCCACCAAGTGGATAATATTCGACTAGGGGCTGGGGAGCCAAGTTTTCTGTTAAAGGTCTGGGCAGTAACGCCTAAGACCAGGGGCAGCCAGCACATGCGGCTGAAGAATGATTGGTACCTTCAGGAGATCTTGCGTGTGTTGCCCAGTGCAGTTGGCTGTAAATCATGTTTGGCTCTCGGAGGCCGAGCCGCAAGCCATCCACGAGCAAGCGACCGCGCGGCGCCGGCAGCTCATCCCCAAAGAGGAGATCAAGCCGCCAGCAAGCCTTCCTGCTGACCGGCCTGCCTGGGTGCTTGGGTCCACGAACACGCCACAACTGTAGCAAGGCAGCTACAGGTACGTTGAGCTGTGGTCCAGCTGACCGCGACTCTGCCGCAGAAGCGCTGGAAACTGGATCTTCTCTCAACGCCGCCTCCGGCGCTGACCATATGGCCCCTCGCGCAGGACATCATCAGATGGTGCAGTCTGCTATCCACACACATATTGCGTCTTTTGTTTCTACACACACCCTCCCCCCAACTGAACGGCTCCTTGAAACCGCTATGCCGCCGGCTTTTCCGACGGATGCTGGGTGGTCTCGATGCGTGTCCCTTGCATGGCCGCCGCCGGGCATTGCGAGATGACTATCAATGCAAATGAGAAGGGCTCAACCCGCTAGCACAGAGCCCACATGGACAAGGATTGGGCGCTCTGGAACGTTACCTTGTCGTTCAGAAGCGCGCTCGTGCCTCGCTCAGTAGCAGTCGGCCTCTGCAACTATTCTTAACTGCCGCAGGCCAACTGCTTCGACGCCATGATTGGCGTCAGGACTTGAAGGAGCTGAGCACAAAGCTCCGCATAAGCTTTTGCAGGGCTGACCTCTTGTTGGGAGTGCTGCGCTGGTGCCATCGGGGCGGCGGTCGTATGTGTCATGACCCAGAAGTGGGGAAAGGGAGGGCTTGAGTGCAACTCACAGGCATTGGCAAGGTGTGGGGGGAATCTTCAGAACTGTAACATGGGTGGACATGCCATGGCAATTGCCTGAGGCAGTGTTCGAATGGTTTCCGGCCTTTCACCCACTACTGCGTGCAAGCGCGGTGCAGGCAAAAAAACAGGGGAATTAAACATCTCATCTCCCTCTCCAAAGCATGTTTTGGGCAAACCTTGTAGCGTACCAAAGGCACAATGAGATGCGAGGGGAGAGCCCATTATCATGGTTGGAAGTTCATCTTGAGCGTCCGGGCCTTCGACACTGCTTGAATTCTGAAACAATGGTGACCTTGGCGTTGTTCAGCCTACATTCTTTTTTGCCATGTAGGTTGCCGCCAAGACAATGCCGCCAAACATGGTCACATCGGTTTCACATCTGGCCGTAGAGGGCTTAAAAACCAACGGTGATGGTAACAGTACTTCGAGAAGGCACGGGTAGTTAAAATTTCCGACATCCTTGACTTAAGGCGCGCCTTAGCTGGAAACCGTGCCAGTTGCCGTACTTTGGCCGATTTGCATTTTCAGCCTCAAGGTTGTTCATAGGACATTGTTGGCGCTTCGCTGTGGTGGGGCGCCACGCTTTGTGCGTTCCGCCATGAAATTTGCGAAGAAACTGCAAGAGGAGCTGGAACAAGGATGGAATGGTCAGTTCCTTGGCCAAACCAGATAACAGGTTAAAAGGGGCCCTAAAATGGGTAGTTTTTTGAAAAGCAACCCCAACCGCTTGTGCCCCCCTTAGGTTAAATCATGCAGGTGCCATCCATGGTTAGTTTTGCGTCGTTCTTAGAAGTTCTTTTTTTGGACAGTGCTAAGAAGAGGTGTTTTTATCAGACATCAAATTTCGTGCATAATGAAGCCGCTTCACTGCGTTGCAGAACATGAAGATCGAAGGTCCCGAGAAGTGGCAAAGTGACCGGAAAAAGGGAATTTTGGGGAACCTTAAAAGAACTCTGGTACGCTTGGGTGTATTTCAGGACTCTGATTAATAGGGTGCTGTTGGCAAAATTTGGCGCAAAGAGATTCATTCTTTAAGAAATCCACTGATGGCCTTTGCACCAGTGACATCTACATGTTTATCAAAAACATGTAGGACTGAATGGACGGCTGCTTCATTTGGTGTTGTTTTGGTCACACATGTGTGGGGAAACCATCAAAAAAGGAATTGCCCCTGCATAAACCGACAAAACCATGGTGCAGGTCCAGAGGTCAAAACCGTATGAGGCAGACTCATACTCAGACCAACAGCAACATCTTCGGACAAAAGTCTTCACTTGTCCCAGGTATTTGGACTATAAGGCCCTGAAGAAAGTCATGAAGGGCAGTGAAGGAGAGGTGAGGACCGACCGGTGCGCCTTTAGACAGAGTACTTAGTACTTGATGTAATGAGTCTTGGAGCTTTAGAGTTTTGACAACATCTGGAAATCACACAGTGTTCTGCTCACAGAGAATGTGCCGAAACCGCCGAAACCGCGAAAGGTTGTTGACCCACTGTCAAGCATGAACAAAGACATGTTTATGTCAAAAGAGCTTTGTTCAGAACTAGGATGCTGAAGAAGTGCTCAAACAATGCAAACAACAATACCAAACCCGATGATAGAGGGCCCATCAAGGCATATCAAGGCAATTTCCTTCGGTTTGTTGTTTTCATTGTTTCCAGACATATTTTGACCTGACCATGCCTCCATTGGCTTCTTTCAAAGAGGCACCACCTTGTGGATAGTATGAACATTGAACAGTTTTTGGGGTGCTGTTGTGTTTTGGTAATCAGGTTACACATGGAAAAAGAGATTCGATCGCATGGCATCTCGTTGACGGTTCAGGAAAGAATGGAACCACGGCTAGGAACAAGGGCATGGCTACTGGGGGCTCCTGGCATCGCTACTAGGAGCAAGGACGCTACTAGGGGCTCCTGGCCATACTGCTAGGAGCGATCGGACGCTATTAGAAACAAGAAATAATTAGAAGTTGAATTAACAACAATTTAATTAGAATTGAAACTAAAAGCTACTAGTCAAGAGCAACTTGTTAAACTCAAGCCCGACCAAGCCCAAAGAAACACAATCTGATTGGTGTGGCTTCCACAGACACCAGGTCATGCGAGACTTTTGTGATGCCCTGAGTGCAGAACTGCATAAGGCGTGGCCGAGCATGACTTCAAGGCCCTCCAACATAAAAGCAATGGCCTCCAACCTAATAGCAATGTCCTCCAACATACTAGCGATGGCCTCCAACCTAAGGAATACTTGGGGCTTGGAGCACCAAAGGACTTCTTGACTTTTTTTCGACAATGTGATTGTGACACGTTTCTACGCCTCCCCCAAGAGATTCCGTTCAGGGACGACCAGGCTGAATCGCTCAAGTGAGAGACAGCCTGCTTCTTCAAACACAAATGACGTTCGGTCTGTCGTCCCGGTGCAAAACACGTTTCGATGGACCGACATCGGCTGGTCGCATCACCTGAGGTGCATGATTTCATGCGACACCAGCAGGAGACACTGCAGGTGACCACGCTGGGGCGTGTTTCGCAGTGCAAGTGGAAGAGCATTAAGTCCAACATTTTTCTCTGTGGTCAGAAGTTGCGTTGGAACGACGGCGGAAGCATCTGAACATCTGAGGATTCTAGTGATATCAGTCTGTTAGGTTGATCATGTGTTTAGCCAAGCTGCACTGCCTTCCTTCAGGGTTCACTAGCTAGCAATGAAGGAGTATCATACCTACCGGCCGGGTGAGATTTGCGTCGATATCCACTTGAAGTCATGCACTCGCACTGGTTGTTGACAAGCACATCTTGTCAGTGGCAATCTTGGCTTGAAGAAACATATGCATCCAAAGAAATTTACCTTGTAAATAGTAGCGACAGGGCGATGCACTTAGTTACCAGTAGCTTCTTGTTGCTAGTAATGCCTAGTAGCAAAAAGATGCGGCAAATTTCTCCAAAGTGCCCCAATCGGCGGCACGTGAGACGTGTTTTCTTGCAGGATCAACTCCCAGGGATGCTACTTGAGGAGACAGCAGACGGCTGGGAGACGGCTGGCAGACAGCTTGGCCAGGGTTCGGTGGGTCTTTGGAGGTCGAATTTTTTTTTTCATGCCGAGTTGGTGGGATCCGACAGGTCCCTTTTTGCATCGTGTGTCTCTTTTCATGTTGTTTGTGATTTACTATGGTATTTCATTCACATGTTTGTTGTCCATGCGGGCAACTTCATGGGATCTTTTCTTTCTCCAAGTGAAGTGGTGAACCACAGACACCACAGACATAGGGTCCATGGGTTTAGAGTTGAGGATGGAGGATGGTTCAGGGTGTTTAATTGCATTGGCCACTGAGTCAAATCTCGCGAAATATCTATTAGTTTTCCGCCTTTGCAAGTGGGGAGGAAGAGTCTTGTTTGGCAGATTTTTGATGCCTCTATATCCTTAGATCCTAAAGCTTTGGGCAAGAAGAATCACTTCCAAAGTCCCGCGGAATCGCTTCAATGGATGAACGCCCACCCGGTATCTCGTTCAGATCCCTGGAAAGCTGATCCGTCAACATTTGTACGAGCGTTCAAGGGCACTTGAGAAGCTGCAAAAAGAACACATCCTATGTCAAATTGTTGACCTACGATGACCTAACAGTCAAGATCACAAACTTGAAGCTGAAACAAACAGCACGTTTAGAGCCAAGTGTCAAGTTCGGAGTGAACTCTGAGAATTCATACATACATATATACATACATATCCGAGGTCAAGTGCACATATCTCGAGAATCAAGGGTATAGACGAAAAATCGTTATCTCGTTCGATTCTGTGCGTCTCGGTTTTCGCGAAGGAGACCTCTCAGCCGAGCCGAGGCGAGGATCCGTCGCGGTCCTTTGGGGCCTTGCTACTAGTAGCGATGCCAGGAGCCCCTAGTAGCATCCTTTGTTCCTAGTAGCGATGCCCTTTGATCCTAGTAGCTTCTTGTTCCTAGTAGTAAGGCCAGGAGTCCCCAATAGCGGCGTAGCTTAAGAAGGCGCACTTCAGGTGGGGGAGCCCTTCGAGGATGGAGCCGTGCACTTCAAAAAGCAACTGCTGGTGCGCTTGGAACCCGCTTCCGGCGAAGTTTTCAGGCCGTTCCCGCGCTTCCTCCGAGACCGGCGAGGTGGAGAAGTGCGTGTTTGGGCTGTAATTTTGGTGATCAGACGATGTGGCTGGTTGCCAAAGTGCTCTAAGGTAGACGGACGCTGAAGCTCAGAAGCGAACAACTTTTAGTGCATATTTCCGACATTGGAAAAAGGCCCTCCATGCAATCCACAATGAATCACAGATTTCAGAGACGAGGTCAATAGATGTTGGTGGAACAGTTCACAAGTTAGGCAAGTTGCTTCTTGGCTCGGAGTCATTTGGTCAAACACAGCTCTACTCTTTGGGTCTCTTTGGCAAAATCGCAAATCTGCGGTCAGACCCTTCATGCGGTCAGCCCTTCGGTGAAACCACGATCCTGCGCCGCAACCCAAAATGGTCCGGACTAACAACACGAAAGAACACCCGGATCTGTATGGATGTCTCGAATGTCCTAGACATATCTAGAGATGTAGACTAAGAACACTCGCAACACACAGAGGCGCCCTGCCTTTTTGTAATAAGTAGCTCTATGTATTGCCAGATCATTTGGGAGGCCATTGCTATTCAATTTTTCATTATAGATATAACTTGTTCCTTTTTATGGGTTCGTCCCGGATGGCACGACCAGTGCCGTCTAAGGCGGTGATGGTCCGAAAGATCGAGAGCTTTCGACATTATTCGGATTTGACCTTCGAAGCCATGAGCTGCTCGGAGTGGAGAAGCGCAGAGAAGCGAAGACATGGGTTTGCCAAAGCTGCTTCTCCCCGGAGTGTGTGAGGTTCACTTGAATAATTATAGAAGAGTGTTGCTTCGTCATGGACGGAGTTGGATATATTGGATCATATTGGCATATTAGGTATGGGGTGTGGATGGAGTATGCATAGTAGAAAGCCCTTAGGGGCCTCAGCTTATGTTTGTGTCCACATCTACTCATGGCCCAGGGTTTAGTGCTAGCCTGTGCTAGCTCTTTATTGTTGATCTTGTTTGGCTCTCAGGAAAGATTATCAAGAAGTTTGACAAGCGGTTTCACTGCCGCTTTCAGGAAACCATAGGCGGGATATGCAAACCATGTGGGTGCTGTGAAATTGCAGGGCAGATGCTTGTTTGATGTTTGCTTGCTTCGTGAGGGAATACTGGCGTCTTTCGACAGAGTGCTATGCGTATGCCCCTCCAAAACGATCTGGTCAGGGTACTGGCAGAAGACAGTTTAACTTCGAATGGTCCAAACCTTCGTGGCAAGCGGTGTTTTCTGGCGAATAATGTAAATGGTGTATTGTTTTAAAACACTTGATGGTTAGATGATGTTAGATGTTTCGTCAGGTCCATCTCTATCCAGAATAGCCTTGAAGACGAGATTTCCATCGCTCGTAGGTTGGAGGCTGCTCGTAGACTTGCACCCATTCGGCACCGCTCGTAGACCGCGCAGGTATGCCAGCCACAGCCCAGCAGCTTGTCACGGCAGAGGACGCTGGCCACTGTCGCGTGACTTTTGCGGGGTGGGTCTGTAGGACGAGGTCTGTAGAGAAAAGGTGAAGCACCAACAGCCAGGAACTTGGCGCTTGAACGTTAGCTTGAATTTTGTTGGAAAGGACACCCTTTTTTTCAGACATGTCGCATCCACCATGTCCAGTGAGGTCATGAAGAAACCATGAAGTCGAAGGCAGTCGCATCTGTGAGGACATTTCTTTGCGGGTGCTGCAACCAGCCCATGAGTGCTTGCGACAGATGCGAGTCTACAGCCCTTCGTCTCAGATTTGATTCGTGGGCTTTCCTTGGTTGGTTGCCGCGAAACCACGTTTGTGGCACTTTCCTTGCATCTTTGCGTTTGTGGAGCACGGAGCGCCGGTGTGGTGAGACCCACGGTGTTTTTCAGATACTACACCTTTGCCTATTAGTAGCGATGCCAGGAGCCCCTAGTAGCGTCCTTGTTCCTAGTAGTAAGGCCAGTAGTCCCTAGTAGCGTCTTTGCTCCTAGTAGTAAGGCCAGGAGCCCTTAGTAGCGTCTTTGCTCCTAGTAGTAAGGCCAGGAGCCTAGTAGCGTCCTTGTTCCTAGTAGTAAGGCCAGTAGTCCCTAGTAGCGTCTTTGCTCCTAGTAGTAAGGCCAGGAGCCCTTTGTAGCGTCTTTGCTCCTATAGTAGTAAGGCCAGGAGCCGTCCTTGTTCCTAGTAGTAAGGCCAGTAGTCCCTAGTAGCGTCTTTGCTCGTAGTAGTAAGGCCCGGAGCCCCTAGTAGCGTCCTTGCTCCTAGTAGTAAGGCCAGGAGCGCCTAGTAGCGTCTTTGCTCCTAGTAGTAAGGCCAGGAGCCCTTAGTAGCGTCTTTGCTCC